GCTCAGATAATTTGTGTGTGTGTGTAGGGGACTGTCTCACTATGCTGCCCAGACTGGTCTTGAACTCTTGGTTTCAAACAATCCTCCTGCCTTGGCCTCCCAAGGTATTACAGGCATGAACCACTGTACCTAGCCTCTTTTCTTTTTTGAATCTCCTAGTGGGGTGTGTGTGTGTGTGGTTTGGTGTTTTGTTTTTTGTTTTTTTAGCATTGGGCAGTTTTGGCCACCTATTTCTTCTTGAAATATCTCTTCCTTTGGCTTCCTTGATTTTTTCCCTATCTTTCTGTCATTCTATTTTCCAACAGATCCTTTTCTTTTTCCCACTCCCATGGCTTCCAGGTTTCCCCAAGACCTTGTTCTCTGCTTTAGGCTTCTTCCCTCAGTGACCACATTTGCTTTCACAAGTTAAACTGTCACCACTAAGCTCCCAAAATCTTTCTCTAGGCCCAACCTCACCTGTACTCAAAGGTGTGTTTCAGTTGACTCTAGAACATTTCCATTTTGTATTCAGACTCAACATGTCTCAAAGTGACTTAATATTTTGAATTTTGAAAATCCTCCAGGAAACAAAAACATTTTTGCATAGTACTCAGAGACATATAAGCGGACCTCTCCCCAGGCCAGGGAATCCTACCCCTGTAGGACACCATCTCCACCTGCCTCATAGGTTTTAAGGAACCTTGTCCCTTACTCTTTGATATGGTTTGGCTGTGTCCCCACCCAAATCTCATCTTGAATTGTAGCTCCCATAATTCCCACGTGTTGTGGGAGGAACTCAGTGCGAGGTAATTGAATCATGGGGGCAGGTCTTTCCCGTGCTGTTCTTGTGATAATGAATAAGTCTCAAGAGATTTGATGGTTTTATAAATGGGAGTTCCCCTGCACATGCTGTCTTGGCTGCTGCCATGTAAGATGTGACTTGACTCCTCCTTGCCTTCCACAATGATTGTGAGGCCTCCCCAACCATGTGGAACCGTGAGTCAATTAAACTTCTTTCCTTTATAAATCATTCAGACTCAGGTATATCTTTATTAGCAGTCTGAGAACAGACGAATACACTCTTTTTATATAACTAATCACCAAATTCTAGTTTTCCCCTTCCAGATGTCTCTAGATTTGTCCTTCTTTTGATATTTTTACCACCCTGTTTCAGCCTGCCATCCAGTGCACACTTATTGGACACCATCTCCTAGGAACAACATTAGCTGATGGGGGATATATCCAGGATTAACCCAATCCCTGCCTTCAGGGAGCTAACCAGCAGGGAGATGGTCAAGTAAACAGCAGCCATAAGAGGGTGTGGTAAATGCTGTTAAAGGCTGTGCAGGGTGCTATGGAGCACAGAGAACTTGAAAACCCAGCCTGAGGGGCCTCTGCACATAGAGGATTCAGATCTGGAGTCTTAATGATCAGGAATTAGCTGGGGAGAGCAGTAGGCATTCCTGGTCAAGGCTGCCAAACAGCATGGACAAAGGAGAAGAGACAGCCCTCTACCTGGGGCTGGAGTGGCTCAGAAGGTAGATTTGTGGGTTCAAGGTGGGAGCTGGTGGAAGATGAGGCTAAAGAGGATATGCTGGGGGCAGAATTCTACAGTGAAGGCAATAGGGGGTGCTATGAGTTTTGAGCACCACCACTGCATTGCACTCAGACTCCTCAAGGCCTCTGGGAATTGGCTCCATGTAATTTATCCAATCTGAGACTCTCTATAACACATAACCCAGGCCTTCTACTCCAAGTTGGTGGGGCACTTCACCGTTACCTATAAGGACTTGAATTTCAACCAAGAATCATTTATCAAATGCTTCTTATGTGCCAGACACCAAATTTGGCTCAGGGGAGCCCTAGGTAAGTGAGACACAGCTCTGCTTCAGTGAGTGGGTCAAAGACCCCTTAACTCCTATGGACAATACAGAGCTTCAAAGAGGTCTATGCAAGGACTAATGGAGGACAAAGGAAAAATCCTCCAATTCTGCTCAAAAACTCGGATAGGGGCCTGCCAGGGAAGTCTTCACTGGAGAAGGTGTCATTTGAGCTGCTTCTTAAAAACTGTAGAGGATTGCTCAGCAGAGCATTTTGAGCATAGGAGAGTAGGCATAAAGTGAAAGAGGCACACAAAAAACACATGGTCAGGCCGGGCGCGGTGGCTCATGCCTGTAATCCCAGCACTTTGGGAGGCCAAGGCAGAGGGATCACCTGAGGTCAGGAGTTCAAGACCAGACTGGCCAACATGGTGAAATACCGTCTCTACTAAAAATACAAAAATTAGCTGGGCATGGTGGTACGTGACTGTAGTCCCAGCTACTCGGGAGGCTGAGGCAGAAGAATTACTTGAACCCAGGAGGCGGAGGTTGCAGTGAGCCAAGATCACACGAATGCACTCCAGCTTGGGTGACAGAGTGAGACTCTATCTCAGAAAAAAGAAAAGAAAAGAAAAGAAAAAAAGCCATGGTTAGAATGTTATAAGAAGGGCAGTATGACTGGGTGCAGGAAGAGAGTGGCAGGACCCACAGCCAGAATTCCTGGAAGGCAGGAATTTGGATTGGCTCTGGGCAGCAAGTGCCTTTGGTTATTGTGAGTTTCATATATCCTCATGCTTCCTTTCCTGGGCCTGGCCCAGCCCTTGATGGTCATTCTTAAGTCAAGCTGAACACCAGCTGGCTCTGTGAAGCTCTCTCTTCCTTTCCCAGTCAGTCCACACTAGCTGTCTACTTTGAGCTAGCAGATGCTGCCACATACTTTCACACTTAATTGCTCTCTAATTGTTTCACAGGTGCTGGTTTTGTCGTCCCCCTTAGACCTAGGAACTTCTGGACAGCAGGGACTGTGCCTCAAACTTGGGTTTGTCCCAGAGACACTATACGCTGTGGCTCACACATTAAAGGACCAAGGCTGGGAATCACTCAAGCTTCGGGAAATCTGATTGAAGCTTTGGATCTGCCTTCTGCATTCTTTCCCACAATGTTAGGAGTGAAACAAACACATCTGGGTGCAGTAACTGGACACTGCAGTGCTGTCTGCTGTCTAAGTCTGTCAGCATACAGAAACAAACAAACAGGAGAGTTTTGCTTTCAACACTCAGCAGAGCCAAACTTCCTGATGCACAGGAATGAACAACGGAGGCACTGTTCTGGAAACACCTTCCTCCAGAGAGGTGCTTCCTCCTCAGGAACAACATCAAAAACCTGGCAGGGCTGATTTTACATTCAGACAATGGCACCTACATGCTTTTTGCTTTGCTCAGAGCTGTAAATGTCCAAAGAGGTGATCCTCTGCCATCATTTTGGAAGGAAGAATCAGTCAGACTGATAATTAGGCCCATATGCACAGACATGGTCACACTGACTGTTGAAATTTAGATTATTTTTGGCCCGGTGCAGTGGCTCACACCTGTAATCCCAGCACTGTGGGAGGCTAAGGCAGGCGGATCACCTGAGGTCAGCAGTTGGAGATCAGCCTGACCAACATGGTGAAACCCCGTTTCTACTAAAAATACAAAAATTAGCCAGGCATGGTGGTAGGCATCTGTAATCCCAGCTACTTGGGAGGCTGAGGCAAGAGAATCGCTTGAACCTGGGAGGCAGTGGTTTCTGTGAGCTGAGATTGCGCCACTGCACTCCAGCCTGGGCGGCAGAGCGAGACTCCGTCTCAAAAAAAGAAAAAAAAGTGCGTGTATATATATATATATAATTTTTGTACTGCTTGGTAATTAGCTTTAGCCCGGTCCCTCCTCTGGGACCTCCCCTGGAATTTCCTCACAATCCAGTAACTGAATAATTAGCATCTAGCTCCACAGAACTTTTCCCAGGGCTCTGCTCCAGGGCTTCCCTTCTGACTGGCTGTGCATGACACACTGGGAATTGTTTTCTGCCCACTGGAACAAGGATGAAGTGAGTCAAGGAGTCCAAGAGATCTTGGACACACTTTTCAGAATTCAGAGGGGATGGGTAAATGCAGGAGAAAACTGATAAAACCACACAGGCCCTGCAAGAGCCTGACTGCTCCGGCAGGGTAGCTACCCCTAGCATTAGCGGGGAGTCACCAATGCCTCTTCCAGGCACTGAGCAAGAGGGCGGCATTACAGATGTACCTGCCGTCCAAACAGAGCATCTCATTGATTAGGTCACTGCTCAGCAACAGTATCTGAAGGACACTGGAGTTACTCTGCTTGTTGGCAATTCACGGTGCTGGACGGACGTGCTCCTAACACTAGGTAACAACACCGCTCTCCCTCCTCCCGGAGAAAGCCGCAGCCATCGATTCCCACCCAACAGGGCCTCAGCGCCTTCCCGGGGCAGCACCCTCACTCCCGTGACCATCAATCACCCAAGCCACAGCATGGTCCCAGACCCACCCTCGCCCCTTAGGACATGGTTGTCCAATTGTGTTTTCACAGGACAGTGGCCACTGGGCGATGATCTTCACGGGCAGGCTTTTTTTTTCCCCTCTCAACATAAAGGCGGCAATATTTACCACGGAGTCTTGGCCAGGGTGCACTGCCTGCTGCTGTGGGGTGGGGTGTTTAGGGCCTTTTGTTGAGCAGCTCAGTGACTTTCTGGGATTTCTACGGCCCTGCTGGAGGTGGCCCTCTGTCTCCCTTTTCCAAGGAAGAAAGTGGGGACAAGCCACCTGCCTCTTCCACAGGGTAGAGGCGAGAGTGACAGTGAGACAGCACAAGAGGGACACGCTCTGTTTCAAGGAGAGGATGTGGGTGACTTCGTCACTGCCGAGAGCTCCTCGTCTCCAACCTGTCGGGCACAGGGCACCCACATGACACCCTCACGCCGTCCCCGGGCCGACAGACCCCACGTCTCGCGGGTGCCGCGGGGCAGAGAGCGCCGCCTAGTGAGGCGGCGCGAGTTGGACATAGATTGGAAAATAGACCGGGACAGACCGGGGGAGGGCGGAGAGGCGTCCGACCGCCGCAGGCAGCCGCGTCCCCGCCCCGCGCCGCCTACGACTTAGGGCCCCCGGCCCGTCCCCTGCCGCTGCAGGGCGCTCACCTCTGGGACGCCTCCCCGCGCCGCCAGCGCCTCGTCTGGCTACTCCCGGCCGCAGAAGCTGCGCCCTTGCTCCGGCTCCACAAAGCCCCGCGGCCCCGCCCACGGAAGGGCCCGCCCACCGGCGAGGCCACGCCCCCGTCTCGGCCACGCCCCAGCACAGGGAAGGATTTTCTCCCAGGGCTGTGAGAGGCGAGGCCCGGGGAGAAGAGGCGGAGGTTTTGCTTCGGTCTCTGCAGACTCCCACAATGTCCATCGAGATCACACAGGCCAGCATTGCCCCTTCCCATTCTCTCCTCATCGTGCAGAGAAGGAAACTCAGGCCGAAGACCTGAAGTGTTGTCCGAAAGCACAGCCAGGCCAAAGAGAAGCACCATCCCATGTTCTCCGACTGCCAATCCGGTGCTTCTTCAGCTAGGCTAAACTTCAGGCTAAAATGTGAAGATCACAGTGACACATTCTTGCCAGCAGAATCTACTGCGTATGTTTGGGAGCTGGGGTGTTTGGAAGCTCCGATTTTGTGTGGAGGACCCAAGAGAGAAGACAGACCCTTCCTGTCCTATAAGAACAGTGCTTCTTTTGCCCTAACTTATCTTTTCCTTTTTCACACCCCCTCTGCCTATGGGGTTTGCTGAAACTTTCTGGAAAAGGAACGTGTCAAAAGAAAGAAATGGACACCCCAGAGGCCCTGCAACCATAGGGTTAAAAGGAGGTAGCCTTATGAGAAAGCGGTGGAGTGACTTTCTGGGGTGAAATCTAGTTCAAGGACAGAAATACACTGTCTTGAGTTAAGACTAGTGGTGGGGGAAGCCTGGGGGTGGGGTGCAGACTGCAGGCGGATGAGCTCCCTGCCACCTGCCACTTGGGGTGTAATCACAGAGCTGCTGACACTCCCCACTCACTGCCTGGAGGAGCTTGGCGGTGGAATCGGGCAAGGCGGGAAAGATAGGTGTAAAACAAAGCCTGGCACTTAATTACAGCACAAAGATCTCATTATAGAGTCTTCTCAGCTCCCCTCCTCCGCTGGCAGCTTGAAGCCTGAGTGACAAATTGCCTAAGTAGGTCTCCAAGGGCTGCATGTAGAGGGATGAAACCACTTCCCCGCCCACCCGAACCCGACTGTGGGGGCTGTGGAGAGGGAGGGGCTGTTCACACTCTGGCATATGCAGGGGGCAGTGGGAAGGTCTGTAAGGGCATCTTGAAAGCAATAAGAGCTGGAAGCCACGGTGGCCCTAGCTTAACATAAATAACACCTTGCTGGGGCAAGCCCAGCAAGGTTCCCTCTTTTGGTAGTGGAACCGAGGGCAAGGTTGGAGACAGCTTGACGGGTGGCACTGTTTATTCTGCATCGTAGGTGGACGCTGCAAGACCAGCAGGGGCCTGGCTTATCATGGAGCTTTGCGAATATGTGGGAGACAGGAGCCTTCCAGGCAGTGTTATGGCCTCCCAGGAGCTTCCAAAGCCCCCCTTCCCAGGGTGGCATCTGGCTTTGGACACTGTTTTCTGTCACTGACCTCCAGGGACTCATGTCACACCTGGAAGAACTTTTAGATTCTGTCTGCCTGGCCATGTCTTCCAACAGCCGAAATCATTGGGGAAGATGACAACTTCTACCTGAACAGCCAGGACAGCTTAGAATCTTCTCACATGCGGCCCTTGAAATGCACTTCCATTATTTTTCTCCAGTATATTCAGGGGAAGGGGCTGGTGATCAAAGCTTTTACTGAGCAGGGACAGAAGGGTTGTCACTTGCTTTTTTCTCCACTGAAACCTAGAGTAGCACACACATCCTCAGAGTGCTATGTGGTGCTCACAGGCAGAGCCCTGCCAGAGGTTCCTGTCATTCCCATATGTTAAACCTTCAATGTCTTCCCTATGAACTACAAACGAAATTTATATTCTAGGTCAAAACCCCATTGTCTAGCCCCTGACAACTTCTCTAGGTTTGTCTGCTCCCAGTCCCCAACTCCCAGGCCCCAGCCTCAGCAGCTGCCTTCTGCTTGCCTAAGGTCTTCACGCATGCTGTTTCTTCTGCCTGGAATGCTCTTTCTCCATGACTTTGTGTGGCTCACTCCTACCCACTTTTTAGTGTTCCCTCTAATTAACTTCTTCAAAGAGAACTTCCCTAAGTCTTCTATCTAAATTAGGTCCCTCCCGTTGTTCTTTCTCTTTATAACCTGTTGTTTTCCTTCACAACTCTCATTTCAATTTATGATTTTACATGGACCTGTTTATTGGTTCAAGGTCAGTCTGTCCTTCATCCTTAATAGATTTAATAGACTGTAAGCCTCATGAGGGTAGGGGCCATGTCTGATTTGTTCACTTCAAATCAGTATCTGACAAATGTCTCCTGATAAATATTTATTGATGAATGAATGAATGAATTATATTAGCAATTTTTATCTTAAAGGATAAAATTAGAGCCCAATAAACTTGTAAACATAAGCAGTAGTGACTATTTCTATTAAGAAAGGTAGCAACCAAAACAAGTATTTAAGGAAATACAAATACCAAGGTTTATTAGGTACTTCTTAAAACTAACCATCCGTTCAGCAAATTGATATTAAGCTTCCATAGCCCTTGTGCTTCTTGCCAGAAATACAAATCTAAATACGAGCTGGCTCTCAGGAGCTTGCAGCCTGGGGGAGTGGGGGTGGACATGTAAATAAATGGTTACAGTGTAATTTGATAAATGCTGCAATAATAAATGTATCTAACTCTGCCTGGAAGTGCCTACATCTGGGACTTGGCAAAAAAGAAAAAGATGACTTTGTCACCTGGGCAGGACGGAGGGAGGGCATTCTGGGCAGGAGAGGAATAAAGGAATGTGACTCATTTGGGGAACTGCCAGTGGTTTGGTAAATGGAGTGCAGGTTGTGTGAAGGATGGAGATGGGTAAAGAGACAGGCAATTGCCAGATCACATGTTCATGCACATGTGTTCTATTGAGGAGTTTGGACTATGCCCTGGCTCCCCATGGGGCTTGGGGATCCACTGCATGGTGTTAAGCAATGGAGTGGCACCACACCTTCGTGTTTATATACAAGAAGTTATAACCTTAATGGTAGTGTGTAGAATGAATGGAAAAGGGAATGGGATGGTTAGCAGAAAGTAAGCCCAGTTAGGAGGCTACTGCAATTGTCTAAGCAAAGATAGTAAGAGTCTAAATTAGAGGAGTGACATTCATTCATTTCTGTTGATTATTTCTGTATTATTTGATGCTTAGTTGTTTGATGATAAATATTTTTTGATGCTTAAAATATATTTTGATGCTTAATATTATATGGTACCCCATGCTAGGTGGTAGGGTATAATATTAATAGTCAATATTTATTGAGTGCTTACCATGTGCCCTGTTCTTTTCTAACTACTATACATGCATGAACTGATTCAACCCTTACCACAACCCTATGAATCAGTACTATCATCATCCTCCATTTTACCAATGGGGAAACTGAGGGAGAAGAGGTCATGTAACTTCCACTTCCTTAGATAGCTAATAATTGATGGAGTCAGGATTTGAATCAAGTAATTGGGCTCCAAAATTCATGCTGTTAAGCACTATCCCCTACTGATATTGTGGTAATGAGCAAGCTGGACAAGGTCCCTGGTCTCATGGAACTTACATTCTGACACTGGAGATGTAGAGGAGAAGACAGAGTGGGGCAAGATTTAGATCGTAGAATCAGAAACACTGGATCCTTATAAGAGAAAGAGCAGTCAGGGCAAATTCACAAGACACTGGCTTTGTGATTGGTGGATAGTTGTGTCAGTCATGGAGTTAGGAAATACAAGTTACAGGTGGTAGCGTGGCGGAAGGTGAACTTGGAGGGATGAGTTCAGTTTGGGGTAAATTGGTGTTGGACTGACTGTGGGATATGGAGGTGGAGCCATCAAGTGAACAGTTGAAGTCATATGTCCAGAGCATAGAAAAGATGTTTATATGGAGACAATAGCGGGGGATCAAGAGGGGTGGACAGCTGGAGACATAGGTGGAAAACAATAGCCAGAAGACAGGCTTAGTCCAAGAGTTCATAAAGGAAAAGATTGATAAATTCAACTGCCTTAAAATGAAGACCTTGTGTTCATCAAAAAACATATTTAAAAGAATAAAAAGATAGGAAACAAAACCGGAGAAGATGCTTGCAACACATGTAACTGCCACAGCCCAAGCATCCAGATTATCTTCAGAACTCATACAAATCAGAAAGAAAAGTCAATAGAAAAATGGACAAAAGATTCAGGCAGATACTTCATAAAAGAGGAAATACGAGATGACCCATGAATAGATGAAAAAGTGCCAAACTTCACTAGTAATCTTAGAAATGCAAATTAAAGCTATAATACATCACATATTACATAAATCATACTGCCAAAAATAAAATGTCTGATAATAAAAAGTGTTGGTGATGATATGGAGCAAACAGAATTCTCACTTGTTGCTAGTGGGAATGTGAATTTGTGTAACCACTTGGGAAAAGTTTGGCATTGTCATGGAAAGTTGAGGATTCACATGCCTTAAGACCTAGAAACTCCATGCCTAGGTGCATAAACTGATATGCATATATCACAATATACATACAAAAATCTGTAAGGCAGCATTGTTTGTATATCCTTTGTACTAGACAGCTTCTATGATGGCTCCCTAAGATTTCTGCTTCCTGGTATTCATGCCTTTCTGTAATCTTCTCTCCTTAAGTGTGAACTGGACCTAGGGACTTCTTCTAACAAATAGAGCATGACAAAATTGATGGGATATCACTTCTGAGATTAGATTACAAAAGGATGTGACTTCTGCCTTGCTCACACTCTCTCTCTGGCCCTCTTGCTTGCTGTCATGAAGCTGGCTGCCACATTGTCAGCTGCCTTATGGAAGGACCCATATGGCAAGGACTCAAGGGAGGCCTCCTGCCAACAACTGGCTTGGGACTGAAGCCATCAGTCTAATAGCCCATGAGAAAATGGTTCTTGCCAACAACCACTCAATCACTTGAGTGAATTTAGCATTGAATCACCCCCTGCTCAAGCCTTAAGATGAGACCATAGCCTCAGCTAACACCTTGATTACAGTCTTGTGAGAGACCAGAGCCAGAGGACCCAGCCAGGCCATGCCTAGAGTCTCAATC